GTTTTCGTCTAATTAGTCACCTTGGATGCTTCATTGGGTGCAATCTTGCTTCCTGATCCAATGGTCAAACCCTCTTTTAAGAGTGATGTGGATCTAATACTATAATTTTGTTTCTTCGCCTTTAGGGCTAGGGTCTGAATATCTTCTAATGCCCAATAGGGTTGTAATTGGACCACATTGAGAATAGACAGCCACAATTCTCCCAGATATCAAGCTACGGTATTCTCCAAAGGCTCCACTACCTCACACTTCAACATAGGCTCCTTGAACTCAGCGGTGTACTCTATTGAGAGATATTGCTGTTGTACATGGCAAAATCTCAAGAACATGCCATGTTAATGTGTTAATAGATACATCCACTGTATCTCCCTTTTCATCTTGGACCAGATTGTGGGTTCACTTTTTCCCTCTGGTTAGTGTAGACATTTAAAATTTTTCCACCATATAGATGTACTTTTCTTTTACTTAATGGCGCCTAACTTTATCATTTTATTAGATGGGATATCACTGTATTCAAAGACATGCTCTGTTATCTAGAGCCACTTGACCAATTCATCTGGATCCATGTGACTATTAAAATCTGATAATCAATCTTAACCCCAAAATTTTGACTTCTCTGATATTCCATGACAAATTATCGTTGTATTACTACTTCATCACTGGAAATTTCCCAATGAAAGGGGTTTAATTCTTCTCCTCGATCTGGCGAGTTACTGTTGTGGCTATAGGTGATCTCACATGATTGTCTCATCTTAAAGGCAACAAGTTTTTGTTGCATTTGGAAGATTTCTTACTACATATCCTCCATACAAAATTCATGGACGACTCTTTTCAGATTTCTCCTAAAAGACATTATGTCATTTTCTCTCGATCAAGTTATTGATGGGTGTTGGATCAAGATTTCAACAGATGTAGAATTGCAAAAGTTTGCTCGTGAGGCTTAGGTTTTGGTGACCGATGTCACGATGAAATTTTTGAGAAGGTAGGAATGTTGAATTCTGAAAATTTAAGGTTGAGGGTAGGAAATACGGTAGGAATGGTTAGGATATGATGAAGATAGTTTTTGTGGACTTTTGGATTTAGGGCAAGAAAGACAAGTCCCTAAAAATCTAAAGTTTGACATACCCTGATACTAAATGATATTGTTTTATGGAGACTAAAAGCTATGAAAGATGACAAGTAAGAGAAAGGTATGTTGTAGGATGGGTAAGAAAAGTAGGAGGAAAGAGGCCAGATGAAAGCCGGGAGTGAAAGGCAGTGGAACAATGAATCAGAAGCAGAAAGCAATGGTCTTCTACTATCAAACAGTAGGTTGCAACAAGTTTGATGACTATTCAACTGAAAATAGTAGTTACCAGGTGAATCAACGAGGTATAGGTGGTGAGGGGGATCCATTGCCTATTCCTGAGCAAGATATTGATGCATCACTTTCAAAAGGAAGAGGATAAACACAATAACAATAGCAAAGTTCCCCCAAAATAAAATAAAATAAAAACATAAATAGTCTCCCCTACATAGATAAACCTAATTAGAAAGAAAAAATAGGAAATAAGACTAGAAAAGAAAAAGAATTATGTTGAATTTGATCGCAAAGCATAAAATCTAGTTAACAAAAATTTCACATGTGGGACTCGTGCTCAGCCCATTCCGCAATTATGAGAATCACGGAAACTCACAATGTCGTTGGATTCTGAGGGTTTCTATGGAACTTTAGCTCCTGCATCACTTCTTCCTAAAACAAAACAATCAAATATTCAAAATCACTACATTTGTGATGCAATACCTCCATTTTACTTGAAACCAAATTACCTCTCTGATATTTTCTTTTTGACACTCAACAAGGCTACTTTTCACTTTTTTGTTGCCCAACGCTTATCAATATAGTATAGCTAATCTAACAAAAAAATTATAAAATCTTCCTTTAATTCTTCATAATGTTCCCTTTAAAGTGTTTATTAGCGTATGAAAATATCAACTTGAAGGTTCTTTGAAATTTGAAGAGTGATGCATGTTTATTTAGATGCTCCTTAGAATATTGTACTCATGTTTCTATTATAAATAAAGGAGTTCTCTAGTAAATAATGCACTCAACAAAAAGACCTTTCTCACTCAACCAAACCTCCTTTCTTCTTCAACTAGCATCACCTTACCGGCCCCTTCTTTGTCCCTTAGCCTAACATGTAGTCGGGATTCTTGGTACACTTGTCTCTCTATTCACCGATGTCATGCTACCTGCCAATGCACGTTGCAAATGCATCATGCCTGCATCCCATTGCTAGCACGTGTTGCATCTCTAATGAATCCTCAAGTGCATAGAACTTCACAAGTTTGCACACTATCACTCAACTATTTCTAACATCAATCATCCCACAACCTTTATAATCCAAGCTAACTCTCAAGCTTTCCATCTCCCACACTCTCTCATGATGTTATATCCTTTCAACCTCATGTCAATGAATCAAAACCCTCCACCGCCATTAACACTGCAATCAAATTCAATGGTATAACTTATTTCTTGTGGACAAAGGACTTTTGCTTCTTCGTCAGTTCTCATAACAACCTCCATCATTTTGGCACTTCTCCATATTGCCAATGACAACATAAGTTTGCAAAGTAGCATGCTTAAGACAAAAATATTTTTACCTAAATGGTCAACAGTCCCGAAACCTATATAATATCAATTGTCTTTTTTTAAGACTCTACAAAGAAGACATGACTTTCTTCGCCCTCTCTACTTTTAAAAATGTAAAACATATGACTATTACCCTCTCCAGCATGAGATATTCTCTTCAATAAAACACTAAGCAGATACATGAACATAACGGTACATTGATACATGAACATTAAAGCATATTGAAAAGAAAATGAGATAAGTTACTTCAATATCATCACTTCATTATTGATCTAATTATGACATCAATGGAATGAACAGATTCTTGCAACCAATTGTACCTTTGTCCTACATCCTTCATTATAGAATGTGCAAGTTCTAGTATCATCCCGAACATTACATTGGCTCGCTTTGGATATTTTGCACCATTAAGCTCAACCACACAAACCCCACCCATGGCCAATTTTCCTTTGGTTGCTAGCACTAAGGGTGGTTGTTAGAGTTATAGATGTGGTATCTAGACTAATGATAGTCGTATTCATTGTCTAAGCCATGGCCGTAATTTCTTTTCTCCCTGCCTTCATTTCAATTGAACCAATCATCTTCATGAATATTGTTAGGAAAAGTTTGGTTATCCCTCCATTACCTAGCATACTTCAATAATTTATCTAGCTCGTTTTAGGCGCTCGGGTGCTTTCTCCATCAAATCTATTACTATTTCTCAAATAGCTCAAGAAAAACTGTTGCAACAAACATTCATGTCATCTTTGCTTTAGAATTTATCGTAGATAACTTTATCAGCATATCTTGGGTTTTAAATTCAAGCTTTTCTTCCCATATGATAGGTAATCACCAACAAATTTTCTCTCTTCATACTTCTCTACTCACCATCATTAATGATGATGGCTCCCCCCTCTTATTTTTTAGGAAGGGTATTCTTCGTTCTTCAAATTTCTCATATATTTTCTATGTACCATAATTTTTTTTAAATCTATTGCATTTATTATCTTACCAAATCTCATAATTGTTTGTAACACTAGCACAGATAATGTTTGTCAAAATCCAAGTTCAATGAAAATGATTAAAAGAGGTGTTGAAGCTAGAAAATCCACTAATTGGCAACCAATATCCTGCTTGCTCTCTCTTCTATTATTATTCCACATCATTTTATTGTTGGCATAATGTTTTTGGCAAAATTTGAGCTCAACAAAGACAATTATTTAAGATGTTGAAATTGGTAAAACCTACTATATGGCAACCAGTATCACTTTTGCCATTATTTCCATTATTATTCCATGTCAAAAGCATCGTTGATTGGGTCATCCTCCTCCCATCAGACTTCGGGATTTGTCTCTTTGTGTCTCACTAGGTTTGATTGTCCTCTCTATGAGTTGGATAAATGCTTTCATGTGTTTTTCCTTTCTCCTACCAATGATCATTGTAAGTGTCCTGCTGAGTTAGTCCGCTTGGATATTTAGAGTTCTAGTCCGATCCTTACGTAGGATTTCATCATTTAACCACTTTCATTGAATGTTGTTCAAGAGCAATTTTAGTTGATCAATCAAAAGTTCCCAATATCTTTCAATTTTTTTTATAATGAACTAATAGTTCATTTTTTCACATGAATCAAAACTTTACACATTAAAAGCTTGCTATATCATCAATTGTGTCTCCTCTGCTTAGGGTTGTAAGTGAATCAAAACACTCGATGAGCCGCTCAAACACGGCGCGAGTAATAATTAATCATTCGTGTTTGTTCAAATCTTGAATACACACACACACACACGTGCGTGCACACGTCTATAAGTCATATTCAATGAACTTTCTAAATTTGCCTTCTGCTGAGTAAAAATATGCATTTTGATTATGTTAATCACAATACAATGGTTGCATATTTCTCCATTATCATAAAAAATGTTAATTTCCTTAGCACGGGTTTCGTTTAAACTCCTAACGAAAAAGATGCAAGTAACGTATTATTATTCTTTTCGTTACTGAGTCACTATTTGCAAGAATAAGAAAGCATGGAAGCCTGCACTAAACAATTCCATTTTATGAAATTAAAATGAGCCTTCAAACACAGAGTTCTAATTTGGCGTTGTAGCTCTCTAAGAGAATGGCACAACAACATAACATTTTTTTAAGAAAATGCTCCTATAATTTGACACATTTAAAAGTTATAAAAAGCAAGAGCATCTCATGAATATGCAAAAATCATACAAGACCTTATTCCAAATCCAAATGAAATAACGATAGGTAAAAACAAGGTATGTCCTCATGAAATATTTGACAGAAAGGCCCCATTTACTGAATGTCCAAAATAAAATATGTAAGAGACAAATTTATCTTTTACCGGAAGTGAAATATTCATTACAAAAACATAACTTACAAGCCAATCTCTTGAAGCCTCATAAATAAGTAATCTTCCGAGTTCTGCCATTGCACTCTCTGGCAAAAAGGGGGGCGGGAGTAATTAAGTTATCCACCAAGATAGTAGACATAGCTACAAATAAAGCACTAGACTGATTCTGTAATTTGACAACTCATACAGAATGCAATGGCTGGCAAATTTATATAGGATCACAGGGAAAAATGCAACCTCCTGATTATTAATCAAACCACTAATCATGAGCTAGCTTCAAAATATTTAAAACAATAAGTAAGAGTAGTTTTGAGAATGCTTTATCAACACCAATGATAACATTAGAAACTTCATCCAACAGATGAAGACATAAAATTGTGAACTCCTTAACAGATTTTTTTGTGGTTTACCACAAACAACTATACCTTCATTAAATAAAAATTAAGAAAAAAAGCATACAACTATACCTTCATCATTGATGCCCATAATTTTTTACTCGGAACAACAAAAGACTATACAGCCAGAGTTAACCATATTGAAGAAATTTTTGAACGCTTCCTTCAAGCTTAAGAGAAAATGTTCTGGGGTTATCGTAATTCATGAATAGATTGGTAAACATGCAGTTGTGCTAACAAGGTCAAGAAAATAGCACAGCCCGTTAACTGACAAGCACACGATACAACAATCATCTTCATAATAAAAATAATAAAAGATTGGCATAGCTAGTCACTCACTGAAAATTGCACAAGGAGTCAGCTCGTTCCTGAGGACGGAGATCCAATGCTTTATTAACGGATGTGGCGGCACCATGACCTGCATCCATCCGGATTGAATCAGAACCTTAAAAACAAAGGCCAACGCAAAGAAACACAAACAAATGTGCAAAAAGCAATGAATGAACCCCTTAAAACGACAGATGTAATCAAACAATTGAATACAACCAAAGGGTAAATGCAAAACAAGATCTACCAGCATCCTATCTTCCGACATGGCCTTGTCCTCCATGGCTGTACTGGATTTTGCGGCGCAGACACCAAACCAAGGCCTAGGAATGGAAATCTAGGTTTTCGGATAGAGTTAATGTGTCTGCAAAGAAAAAAACAGCTAACTAGGGTTTCGGCACGGATGAAATGCGACAGAAGCATACCTTTAATGAGGAAGGCGGTGTAGAGAAGGGGAGAGGTGTTGGGAGAAGAGGGGGGCTGAAACATCGGAGAGATTTGTGGGAGAGAAATAGAGACGACCTCAGCGCATCCTTCGAGCGATGTGGCGGGGTATTAAAGGCAGTGACGGCGGCCATTGAAAGGAACTTCAAAAGAGGGCGAAGGATTCGGGATGAAGACAACGGCCACTGAATCACTGTGTCTGTGTGCGAGTCATCGCTCCCAATTTTCTTCGACTATTAGGTGCGGCCAGTTTGGTACGGGACAGCGTCAACGAATTTGTTTAGTTACTCTTACTTTGAGCTCTAGTAACACAGCCTGAGCTTGGTTTATTTGGTCGAGTTTGAATTTGTGCTTGAGCTTAAGTTTATGAATTTGATCCGGCTCAATGAGTTGACTTATTTAATATAAAAGAAAATATTAATTTATGATGATGTTATAATAAAAATGGTGATGAACAAGACGGTCAGTATGCCGTCAACACATTTTCATCATTTGACACCAATCTTAAGTCATTGGATGGATCTAAAGGTAACTTTTTAGTCAGAAATATTTAGATTTCAGTTAAGATTCGTCTAGAACTGTGATTTCAGCAAACATACAATTAAATTGGCTGACATACACTCAAATGAGACGGACCCGACGATACCAAAATTGGTTCAATTCGAGTTAAATCTTGCCCAATTCAAATCAACCACTTTGAGAAGCTTGTCAGGCATAATCAGATGTTCAAACGGATTTTGGATCTGGCCGACCTATAGTCAAATTGAGCATCTCAACAAAACAAATTTAATGAGCCAAATATCTCTCAGTTCCAACATCATTAAGACACTCAAATGTTCATTGAACGTTGTCTGATCAAGGGGATCTCTCTGAATCATCCGATCAGAGTGGCTCATAACTTAATTATTTGCAATATAGGCTATATAAATAGAGCCCCACCACCCTTGTGAGAAAGAGAGAGACTTGGAGCCAGAAGAAGGTTGAAGCTTGCAAGAAGAGCTGAAGTCTAGCATCTCTTCGATGTTGTAAATCTAGCAATGTCACCCACTTCGGCAGCAACCACCAGCAACTTTAGCTAGCGCAGCTTGCCAACTCTGATCGTTGACACCGCCAGCCACTATCAACCACCATCAACTGTCGTCCGCTCCTTACGACAAAGTCATCGCAAAATCATGAAGCAACATCTAAAGTGGTGCATTATTCCCGAAGACGAAGTAACAATGCACCTCAGATATAGTGTAATGATGCCTTCCCAAGATGATGTAACAATACATCTCAAATACGATGATTTTTTTATATGTCATCACCACTCACAATTACAATCAGGGTGCAACTATGATCTATGTGGTTGACAGCTCGTGCAGCTCCGACTTTGACCCTACGGCCTACGGACATCATCACGACTCACTACTGCAGTCTATATGATCAACTATGACCTACATGGTCCACCACACATGTAGCTCTCGACTCCGACTCCTGCAACCCATTGGCGTCATTATAACTCACCACAATAGTCTGCATGACCAACTACGCCCTATGTAACCAACAACTCGTGTAGCTCTCGACTCCAGCCCTCACAACCCATAAATGTCATCACAACTCACCACTACAACATACGTGCCCAACAATAGCTTACGTGTTTCACAATTCATGCAACTTTTAACTCCGACCCTGTGGCCTATGGACATCATCACAACTAATCACTACGACCTACGTGGCTTACCGTTCGTGCAACTTGCGACTTTGGCCTCTATGACCTACTAACACCATCACAACCAACCACTACGTCATATGTGACTAACTACGACTTACGTAGCTTACTGCTCCCAACTTTTACCTCAACGACCAACAAACGTAATCACAACTAGCCACTATGACTTATGTGGCTCACAACTCCTCCAGCTTCTTACTACGCCTTTTGTGGCCAACCAACACTTCTAAGGTGCCATCTATGACCCACACAACCAACCGCTATCTATAGCATTCACGGTGGACTACTGCATCAATAACACTTAACTCCGATTCTTGCAACTATTTATCATTGAGAACCAATTCCTTACAGTCAAACTACAACTATTATTAATGAACAACTGTTGTGCATTTATAATGATCAACTTTGAAACTCTATTTTTTCATAATTCAGGAGAATAGTGAGTTTGTGCGCATACTATTCATAGTGAATCATTTCAAGTTTCAACTAGGCCAAAACCCACATTTTTTTTCCACTTTCCAGTGGTTTCCACATAAAATTTAGACGTCTCATTCCGCATACTTATCTTTTTACTATCTGAGTGTGTTGGAGTCTCGTACAATGCTAAAATACTAAATAATCATTCTACCGCCGCGGTCATTTCGATATACATTGTGGTGAAAATAATAATAATAATAATTAACATTCTAAAGTTTCTTTTTAAAGTTTCTTTTAGCCATTTTTTGGAATTTAATTGAAAATTCATGTATTGGTGATTTCGGGTGAATGCAAATAAGAAGTTTTAAATTAAAATGATTAGGAAATACTGTAAATGAACTTTAAATTAATGTATGAATCAAATTAAAAATACTAAAGAAATTTTCACGTTGACGTGAATAGCCGGCCAAAAATATAAATTAAAATCTTTAAATGCACACCTCAATAAATTTAAATAAATAAATAAAACTTTCAAGATATGCATAAATAATATAGAAAATAGTTATATATAATTCTTCTAAACTAGTGGTGGTTTAAGAATTATAAATGCATTTCTGTTTTTAAGCATGATTCCATTATTTGGCGCTAATTGACATAATGTTTCCACGTATTATAAGCCTATTAACTTAAACATACTTTCTTTTATATTTTAATTCAACATATTATTATATATTTTTTATATGACATTTTTTTATTTTAATTTGGTAAATTAGCTTCTTTTTAAAGGTTTTACATGAGACAATTTATGTTTAATGCCTTCAAATTATTTGTGAGGTTTGGATGTGTACATATATGCTGTGAAAAACGACGGCAATAAAACAAAAAATCGGAACGATAAATTCACAAAACAGAAAAACACAGCGGAAACACACGGATTTATGTGGTTCGACAAATTGTCAACGTCCACAGAACTGTAGAGGATTTTATTACTTGAGGAGTTACACCCGTCGATTGCCTCAACGATTATAAGAAAACACTCTTTTTCTCTACCTCTTTCTCTCTCCTCTCCTATTCTCCTTCTCTCTCTCCACCCGAGAGCTTCAAACCGAAGCACACTAGAAGAACTTGGAAAGCTGTCAATGCCGAAGAGGAGATTATAAGGAGATCTAGTATGTCTATTTATTAATTTCATCATGTTATTAGACCCGTTAAAGAATTAATCAAATAATTAATGAAGCCCATTAATTTTTTTTCTCTTCTGCAACAAATCATAGAAGGAATTAAGAACAATTAATTTAGTAATTAATTTCGAGTATGAAATCCAACTTACTGTCAAACATGAGAAAATGTCAATTTGAAACAGTGGACCAATTTTCATATTCACAACAAATCACCAACTTGGAGTGGTACACTGGTTGCATCATCCACTAGTTGTGTCTTTTTTTTTTCCAAACATGATATCTTCCACCTCTGCAACTCAAAGACCCGGTCTTTATGCCACAAGACCAGCTAAAGTCAAGCACAACTTTAGTTTCTTAAAAGTAACACCCTTAGTCGACATATCATCGTCAACATAGCTTTGTATCTCTAAGCTCTTTCTTTGGTTACTCATGTTTCTGCTTAAAACTCCCACTACATGGGCAATATCCTGCCTCTGCTGAAAGCTCTTTTCAACAAGTCTAGCATTATAACTCTTACTGCCATCAAGCGGCGTCTTCACCCTGCACACACACTTGTTGTGCAATGTCTGCTCCAGTGGTGAAAGTTTTGTCAACTCCTAAGTCTGATTCCCTGACAGAGAATCCATATTTTCCGGGTGTTTTCTCAATAATGGAAGCTGAAGTTTCTTCCCATAGAGGAAGTCCTCTATCTACATCCTCCAATAACCAAAACCCGTGTCATTAAACTTCTCGATCTCGATGCCATCACATCATCTCCAACCATCGCTTTCCCTCAATCTGAAGCTGAGCTCTAATACCATTTGTGAAAACCAACGACAATAATGCAAAAAATTAGAACGAGAAATTCACAAAACAGAAAAACACAGTGGAAACACACAGATTAAGGTGGTTCGACAAATTGTCTACGTCCACGAAGCTGCAGAGGATTTTATTTCTTGAGGAATTACACCCGTCGATCGCCTCGACGATTACAAGAAAGCACTCTTTCTCTCTCCTCTCCTCATCGCTAGGGTTGTCAAAAAAGCTCGTTGTTAGCGAACAGCTCGTGTTCGGCTCGTTAAGTAGCTCATATTAAGCTTGTTCGTTAAGTAAACGAGCCGAACACAAACAACTCCTTGTTCGCTCGTGTTCCACTCGTTTTAGCTCGAAATAAAAAAAATATATATATAACTATTTATATAATAATATATTACATATATTATTTATATAATAATATATTATATATATTTATGTCTAAGTTTAAATCATAACACCTCATGTGGCAATGTTGTTAGTTCATTCTTTTGTATATATTTGATCCATGCTCGAATCTCACACTTTACATCTATTTTTCTCAATTTAAGTTTAAAGAGCCAAGTTCGAGCCGAACACGAATATTTTAATCGAGCCGAACACGAACACACTGTTCACAAGCTGATTTCGAACACGAGCTATTTTGAACGAGTTAAACGCGAGCCAAGCCTGAGCTCGCTCAAGCTGGGCTAGTTTACAGCCCTACTCCTCTCATTCTCTCTCTCTCTCTCTACTTGAGAGCTTCAAACCGAAGCACACTTGAAGAAGAACCTGGAAAACTGTCAATGCCGAAGAAGAGATTACAAGGGGAGTTAACATATCTATTTATTAATTTCATCATGTCATTAGACCCATTAAAAAAAAATTATCAAAAAATTAATAAAGCTCATTAATTATTTTTTTTTTCTTCTGCAACAAATCATAAAAGAAATTAAGAGCAATTTATTTCGAGTATCAAATCCAATTTGCTGTGAGACATGAGAAAATGTCAATTTGAAACAGTAGACCGATTTTCATATTCACAACAATATAAAATATGTCAATATGAATTTCCAGACATGTGAATGACTGAGAAGAAATAAACTGTCGATCGAACGTAGTTGTTGACGACCGTTTCAAGCTAGACGATGGCGAGAGAGGCATCTTGTTTGGACGATCGACGAAACACGCAGAAGATTTCCCCCATAGCGGTGATCAGGCCCTCAGGACAATCGACATGAAGCATCCTTTTGGATTAAATGTCAATCGATTCAAAGTTTACCACACGATCGACAAACTCTTATCAATTGAATCAGACCCTCGATCTTATTACATATGAATAACTCTATAATTACTAAAAAAATCCCTCTAAAAAGTCAATAATGAGGGAACACAAATATACTTTTGTAATACTGAGACTTATTTCTATAAATAGAGAGTATGATGTGAATAAAAATTACACTCTTTTCACTGCTCCCTATGGTATACTCTCATCCTCTACTTCTCTCTCTCAACCCTCTATACCTTGGGAGTGTTCTCCAACCGCTTTTGGATTCAACAAGATGCATGCTCTATGCTGACATTTTACTATTAAAAAGATTTATCTCATTGTTGTATTTAATAGTAATTTGCATTAAAATGTAATGAATTATATTTTTTTGTACTGATCTTCAAAAAACTTTTTAAAATAAAAAATGTATTTTTAAAATTAAATATGTTAAAAGCATGATAATTTAAGAAATATATGGACGGAATTGATTAATCTTACCAAACCTAATAATAATACTCAAATTTGCATATGCAAATAGTAAAGCCAAGTATATGATAAAATCTCAAACAAATAAAAGTTAAAAGCTGACAGAACAAAGCCCAGCTCTCTCTCTCTCTCTCTCTCTCTCTCTCTCTCTCTCTCTCATCATCTTTCTCATCATCTAAACCGTTAAATGATGCCAGTAATAATTTCATGGACAGATTTATAAACTGGAAAACCAAAAAATGGTAACGAACTTGTATAACACACCTCCAGGCAGCCATCTTTACAGGACAATCTCAGGCTTAAGGATACTACATTTGATCTCCTTGTGTGGAAAAACAACCCCGCCATTGCTGTAGATTTCATCCCCAACATGCACATCCTCACCAATCACAGACATGTTCTCAATCCTCGCCCATCTACCCAACGTCGTATGCCAACCAATTATGCTGCCTGATATGCATGCGTGCTTCTTAATGCGAGCTCCTCTCATCACAGTACAGCTCAAGAGCCTCACTCCAGACTCCACCACACATCCAGGTCCGATCACAACATCTGGTCCAATCAAACAGCCCTCCCCAATGGCCGCACTCTCATGCACCAGCACATTTCCCACAATGTTAGAACCCACAGCAAGCTCTGAGGATGATTTCTTTCTAAGAGAGTTCAGATAAAGACTCTGACCAATATGTAGTCCTTTGGATGTCCAATGTCCATCCAGAATCCAGGTAGCTCCATGGCATAGAGCTTCTGATCTTCTGCAATTTTGGGAAAAATCTCTTTCTCAAATGAGGTAGGTTTCAACTGGATTCGATCAAGGACAGATGGATTTAATAGGTAGATCCCAGCATTGATCTTGTTGCCCACGAATACTTTAGGCTTCTCTACAAATTTCTCGACTTTTCCAGTCTTCTCTTCCATCACGACAACGCCGTACTTGGATGGCTCGTCTACCTGAAATAGAAGGATTAATGTCAAAGGTAAAAAACTTGGTAATGGTGGATATATTGTAAGATGAATGCTGTACCTTTGTGACCATGACTGTAGCCTCGCCGCAGTGTGAATTGTGAAACTTGATTAGTTCGGCGAATGAGTATTCGCTGATGACATCGCTGTTGAGTACAAAAAAGGGTTTACCAAAACCATCGACTAAGTTAGATCTAGCTAAAGCCAGGGGACCGGCTGTTCCCAGAGGTTCGGTTTCTCGGGAACAAGTGATCTTTATATCAAGCTTTTCTTCAAACTCTTTTAAGAAGCTCAGCATGATCTGCAAAGAGGAAAATAAATCTTTAATCTTTTCAGGCTGGGGAGAATTGGATCCAAGCAAGTAAGAGAAGATTGAATTGAGATTCCACCTCAGGTTGATAATTAACAGCTAATACAATCTCTGTTACCCCAACCTCTTTCAAAGCTTCAATCTGATGACATATCATATATCTGTGTAGGTCAACTGATGAAATTTTTTTTAAAAGTTTTGAGAACAATCAAGTAATATAATGCAAAGAGTATACAAAATTACTGTTTATGCAAGAAATTGCACGCAGAACTAAATAATAATATCTAAGAAAAAATTAAAGTATTCACTATGGTTATTCCCCCAACTCAAGGAATAAATAGTTTTTTTTCAAAAAATGTCTAGTTATGAGTAGATATCTTCAGCAAAGTAAACCGATATGGTTTGTAAACAGTTTTACCTGGTGCAGAACCATTGGTTTGTTACCAAAACATACAAGCGGCTTTGGAACACCAAGTGTTAACGGTCGCAGGCGGGTTCCGAACCCTCCAACAAGAATTAGTGCCTTCATTTTTAGTAATACCACTTCTTGCCTTCCACTGTGGATCAAAATTTTAACCACTCAGAAATTGAAACACAAGTGTGCACGAGTAAATTCAAATATGATCTTCAGGACTTACGATTGATGGTAACTCAGATACTCAATCAAAACAAAAGCTTCTTACAACTATAGCAGAGAATAAACTTCCTACCCAAGGAACGAATCAAGCTAGCATCTTTTCAAGGTAGGTGTCAACTCATAACAAAAAAATTCCATAAAGGCAAGGTTAGAGCGATAATTCCTAGGCTCGGAAGCATCAAAAGATGGGAAGAAAGAGATCAACCAAAGTTAGAAAAAAGCCTCCAAGGTTGACTCAAGGTCAGTTTCGCGAGGCTTCAAATAATTGTAAAAGTAGCTGTAGAATTGTTATGTGAAACATAAATTTTTTAAAGGTTGTTATAGGTATTATATACATTTTTTTCTTCTGAAAAAGTTAGAAATTACCTTCAGACAACTAGTAAACTTTAGCTTATAAGGTTGTAAAAAGCTGTTTCTCATTGCAAAATATTATAAAAAGCAATAAAAAAGTTGCAGCTAAACAAAACTAAGACAGATTTCTTGAAAGCTAAGCTATTAAAAGCTACCACTAATGGCCCTGAGGTGACATGATAAGTTTGATAACCAATAGAATTATAAAATCATAGAACAATCAGATTACTCATGTCCTCTAACTGCAAGTGGGCTGCACCTAGAGCAGAAACCATAGGCAGGATTCAAAAAGCATTAGTCTTAAGGCTGCTACAAAATTCCTCTTAGTGCTCATTTGGCGGCATGGAAGAAGAAATCATCTTTTGGCGAAAATGCTAACATCATCTTTATTCTGTGTGTGTGAAAATTAAACCATTACTCTTGATAACTCAATAAAATCAAAGGGCCTTAATTGTCGCATTTCCAAACAAATCAGCAAAATACCACTATCTACAAGTGGAAGAACACATTAGGTAGGAAATACATATAAACGAAAACCCGAAGCTTTCACGACATTTTCAAAAAAATTCTTATAATCCAACGATTAACTTCGTAAATGTTTGTGAAGCTTAAACTTAATATTAATTTATAATTAAATCCAGCCAAAGAATGAAAAACAATACAATTAAGCAGCCAAATAAGCCCTAAATGATATCAGAATAAAACATGCCGGATAAACACCACAAAAATTCGCAGTTCGGCTGGACTAAAATCAAGAAAAACTGATTAAATCCTACTACAGCACGGAGTCCAGCTGGAAGAATCAAAGAAGACATGGCGGCTAGAGCCATACAAGATAAGCAACTAACTTACAGTAAAAGGAAGACCGATCAAGAATTTTGGCAGAAGTTTTCAACCTCGGAATTTGATGGCGGATCACTAATAACCGCCGATTCTTCTGAGGTCTCAGAAGACAAAAAACAATCAACTCCCCTGCAGCTGTTCCTGCGAAGGAATAGGGAGGAATCTCCCCTGGGCCTCTGGTTCGCAATATATCGAACGCCAAATTGTGAAGAAACCCTAAACCCTAGCGGTTAACCGGAATAGGGTGTGAACTTTGAAGCGAGTGAGTCCAACGGATTCACTCGTTCCTAAGTGAACGTCTAGCCCGTTTCGACTATCTAATTTGTAAGTCAACTCGTCTACCTCTATTTTAGATAAGTTATTTAGCTGTTTGGTTTGTGCGTTTTGTAAACAACTTATTTATAGTTGTTTTTGGAAAAAAATGATCATTTCGACCACACGCAGTCGAGCTGTTTGCAAAAACAATATAATGACCAAACTCATCTCGATTTTTTAAAGAGAGACTTTTAAGGTTCAAAGATAGCTTTCTGCATGCAGATCTATGTGATTGATTTGAGAAGTTTCATGATTCTGCATAGAATGTTGTTCTTTTAGGTCTACTTCTAGCTTTCTTAACGTATGTCAAATATAAAACAACTAACTGAAGTTCTTTTAGGTCTACTTCTAGCTTTCTTAACGTATGTCAAATATAAAACAACTAACTGAAGTTCTTTTAGGTCTACTTCTAGCTTTCTTAACATATGTCAAATATAAAACAATACTCTCCTAACTGAGTCATCAAATAGTCGATGTTTAATGTGACCAAATCATCTAAAGTTGCTCTCTCTAATAAATTATCTCGAATACATAAACCGAAAGTTCAAAAGAAAAAATGAAAACAATTGAACATATAACTACTAAAATTGACCGAAGAATAAAATGATTCTATCATAAGGTACTGCTCAAACATTTTTATAGTTTTTTGCATTTTGTGAGATATTAATTAAGCAATTTTTTCGGAAACAGTGACTAAAGAAATTGGTAGTAGCTAATAGATTAATAAACCTTGCAAGCTGCAGGTTGCATCAATCCAATAGATCATTCTGATAACTATGACAAACCATAAAAAATTAGTGATGATTATGCTCTTTGCACAAATAACTTATTTTTTGACATATAATGAGTATAGTGTTAGTATGCCGTCAACAAATTTCCAACACCCGACATGAATCTAGAGACATGATATAGACCTCAGGGTGATTTCTTTTATGCAAGAAACATTTAAACTTCGACTAAAAGTCATATAGAGTTTAAATTTCAACAAACTTACGATCAAACTAACCGGTTTGAGGAGACGGACCCAATGAATTGGTCTAATCCTAGACAAAGCAAACTTAGATCAAGCCATTTAAATATATTTGGAAGTTTTCTAGGCATTTTTGGAATATCAAAAGAATATTGAATCTAGTGAGCTTACATTTTGATCGAGCGCCTCGACAAGTAGAACCCAACGAGCCTAAGATCACTCAATTCTGACATCGTTAAGAGACTCAAATATCAATCAAATATCACCCAATCGAGGGAATCTCTTCGGACCGTCTGATCAGAGTGATTCCAACCCTATTATTTGCAACAAAGACTATAAATTTATTTATTCAGCAAATAAATCAGACAGAAGTTTCTAAAAACAAGAAACCATTTTTATAACGCTAAATGGGGGGTGGGGTGCGCGGCTTAAAGATTGAATAAGACTAAAACTTGGAGAAAGAGTTGAACTCCAACATCACTTTGCTGCGGACCGCTGCCGAGGCCGCCTCTCGCCGACCACCACTTACCGACTGAAATCAATCACTATTGACCGCTACCCTCTTCTTGCAAAAAGTTCATCAGCGCACTGATGTTGTAACTCAAATGATTGTGTGACCATTCCCTGCCTGTGGGACAATGAACTATACTTGTAATCTCCAGTTTATAGTGAATCTCTTCAGTTGGGTCAAAACCAAGTGGTTTTTCCCTCTACGGGTTTCAACAAAATAACTTTTGGTGCATCAACTAGTTATCTTCTTTTATCGGAGTGTGTGTTAAATTCTCGTGCAACACTAAGGCGATAATCCAATAATCTACTGCTACAAGTTTTCTAGCACACATCAAGTATATTCCATGGACCTCTATGCATTTTATTTATATACAGACCAGTTGAAACATTGATATTTACAATTTAATCACTCGGGTTATTTTTTTTTTTAACTACAAAACTGACATATTTATGTGTGCTGCGATCAAATTAATGAGAATTTGATAAAAATGAAAAATATGGGTTGGGGTTTTAGCATGAATTTTGATATCTAAGTGAGAATTTGAAAAATGGATGAAAGATGGTGGTTGATTTTGTAAATAGCAAGGTGACAGTGGTGAGTATGTAATTGCCCCGAAAAAGACATACTTGAGGTGTAAAAATAATACTATAAAATGAGCATTTCTACTTGGCTCCAAAACTCTCATATTCTATTAAATTTGGAATGGATGCATCAATTTGTTTTCGTTCCCAAATCTCAGCTCCTCAACTTTACTATCTTCTCTAGCATGAGAAAATATTACGCCTAAACAATATATGTCTGGATGCTATCGTGGATTACAACACGCCGCTTGCACAATGACATGGTGCAATCCACTTCGATGTCATCGAATGTAATATTTTCTTCTCTGGCCTCCATAATGGCCTTCGTAGTCACCCATTATTCTTAGAACTCCCCATCATTGCAGTGATGGTTTTATGATGTTAATCCATCTTTTAGCATTTTTTCATCGGCATGTAACTGACAATCACCTCAATAACCCTTACAATATCTCCTACGAGCTCTTACTTTCTCTTAAGAAATGAATTCAGTAATTAGTGCTCTTAATCTATTCTTTAAAGAGAGAAATTGCGTTGAGTTAGTTTTGGCTCCTATTTGCATTAATCAATCCATTCAAATGAGTTTTGATGGTGTTCAAAAACATTATGGAGACTCAACTCATTGGACTTGTGGTGAATATATAAATCATCAAATTAATATATATAAATTAATTTGAGAATATTCAACATGAAAGGTAAGCAATGGATAAAAAAGAAAAAGATTTTAGGGTTTTGGCAAAAAAATATGATTGATTTATCTTGTAGAAGACGTTCTTTTATTTTTTACGTTTTAATTCAAGGGTATTTAAATGAAATTTAATTTTAAGAAAATAGATTCAGCAAAAATTAAATTATTGTGATGCCCAAATTTTGACTAGAGTATATATTCAAATTAATTTTAAAATTTAATAAATAAAAATTAATTGAAAATAATATTACACTAATCTTAAAATAAACCTAATAGTTTGAAAATCCATTATAACAAAATAAAAAATGATAAAAATATCCTAAATCAAATTTTAGGAAAAAAATATAAATTAAAAAAAAAATTGTGAAAAATATGGAAATGCTTATTAGAAACACCTTTTTTAATTTTTAAAGGAGACCATGCAACATAAAAAACTATATATTTACAAAACAAAAACTAAATCTCCTTTGTTCATATTAATACCATCCAATTTTCAAAGAGCCCAATAAAATCTCAACTCAAAATCTCATTTCATTAACTTACTAATGAGTTAGTCTTGACATGTGAAATATATAAAATTTTCTACTTTTTTTTAATATTAGCTATATAAATAAAAATAAATTGAATGATATGACTATTATTTTCCCAAATTTAAAGCACAAAGCCACCTTTGTAATAAATTCCAACTCTTATCCTCCATTCCCTACATTATAATAATACTCCCATGATAAAACATGAACACATCCTACTACTGTGCCAAACTCTTCCTTACAAAAAAATATTGCATCAGGACTCCGCACGTAGAGTTACGTGCGGAGTCCAAGGAAATCACGCCACGTCGAGGTGACAAAAAAAATAGGCCCGACAACACTGGAGAATATTCCCCTTGTGTTATTCAGGTGTTATTGTATGTTATTCAGGTATTATTATACTATGAGAATATTCTCAGTATTATAATAACACAATAACACATCAATAACACTTGAATAACACACAATAACACCTGAATAACATACAATAACATGAAAGAATATTCCCTTGTATTACAGAACATATTTTATTTTATTTTTTCTGTCATCGCCACGTTGCGTGATTTCATTAGACTCCGCACGTAACTCTACGTGCGGAGTCTTGATGCAATATTTTCTCCTTCCTTACGCGCCATCGCCATGTATATAGAACACCTTCGCATATAATACACTTTTTAAAGATACTAACTGATGGATGGTTACTAGCACTCGGAATAAGATTTCTTGTCCTTGAACTCCATCCCCACCCCATCCCTTAAGGGTTAGGAACTACTAATAGTGAGCTAAGTACACTGTGAGCCCTCATCATCGTGGTAGGAAGGAAATCAAGCCCCTAAATGTTATGCAAAAACCTATCTCTCCCTGACATCTCTTCAGAACATTTATCTCTATTTAGGACTTACTCAAGGTTCATAAAACAACGCATCCATCTCCTTGCATCACCACATGCCAAAATTCCATTCGCCATCAAATTTCATTACATCAATTTTGACGGTATTTATAACAATCTTATGAATCGACTTCTCCATTGTCACAACGAATGTTGAAGAAATTGACATCATGCTATTTTTATTATTTGCGCCACTATTGGAATCTCTTTCTCCAAAAAATTTCTCTAATATAATACATGAGAAAAAAGAAAAAATAAGAACTATATATAAAAATGGCTTTCTGAAAAAAAAAAAATCCCTCTCTTTTCTCTGTAATTTATCTTTTTTCTTTCAAAATTCTCTTTCTGAATTCCACAGTCCCAGAAGTTTTTAAAACATTTCATTTTGGAGATCTACTATTCCGGAGACAAATTTCCTTTATCTTTCAAAAGTAAGAGTTTCCTATTAAAAATCTTTCTCCGCCTGCCCCAGCAAAATAAAATCGGAGACGACGGAATATTCCTTCTAGTAGAAAGGAAAGATACCCTTTCTATAATTTTTCTTCCCGGTTTTGTGTAGCTGCGACCGTACCCAGATTTTTTACAGCTGTGGCCGGGGACGTCGCTCGCCTGCTAGAACTTTCACGACGGGCTACACCCTCCCCGCCTGCAGCTCACGCTGTCCTGACCACCGGCCAATGCTGGAGCTGCGGCCTGAAACTGCCAAACCCACCGGAGTTGTGGCTGGACTGCCGGACCTGCTGCAAATTCCTGCAATCGCTCGAATTCCGCATCCAAGCGGCCTGCCTCCCATTTGCACGTCGGACCACCAAATCAGCCGGCAAAACAAGTCGGCTAAGGTGCCACACAAAATGCCAACAACATATGCCGGATTTGCTGTCATCAATGTCGAATAACGCTACGATCACAAACCCGAAGCTCTGATACTAATTATTATGTCAATTGTAATACGAAAACAACATAGAAACGAAGAAGTTCACACAACAACAACCAAACACAATGATAAATGTGATTCGGCGTTGAATTGATTCGCACGAAGGAGATTCCACTAGCATGAGAAGAAACAAAACCACCTTGAGGTTACAACTCAACACTTCATATACACTTCTCTTGGTCTCTCATAAGCCTTATGCCCCTTTTGATAGAGAAGAACTATAGAATATAAGAAAATTAACCAAAAAAGGAAACAAATTAATTAAAATAAAAGTCACAAATACAACACTTAGTCCCTAATCAACTGAGAGAATATTAGGTAAGGAGTTTGTATTCATGTAGACTCCATGTACAAGATCGTTGTACAATAATGTTGTATATAGAGTCCACACAATACTGTACATGAAGTCCGCACACATATAAATTCCACATAATTACTTTCCCTAACCATGTTAAAAAGCTAAAGTCTACACCAAGCTCAACTTGCCCTACTAAGATCCAGACCAACACATTCCAAAACTGTCTTTTAATTCATTTCGATATTACAGGAGAAGAAAGGTGACACCTTACAATCAAATGCAATCATAATTCAATTTTCATATGAGGCCTGTGTAATAATATCTACTAAATAATCAACCATCATGTTACCTTACAATCAAAATATAATCATGATACAATTTCGAAATAATATTCAAAACTGAATGAAATAGCCTCTAAAATAAGCTCGAAAATGCTGTAATTAATTAATAATGTAGTGAACTCAGGTGGAAAATTTGGCAGCCAGGCTTATATGACATTTTAGTTGCAGCCTGCTCAAACTTTTTGACTGCAGCTTCGTTCTCTTCTAGACCGGCCGAAATGAAGTATCTCAGCCACCAAGAAGGACTCCTTGATTTGGCCTTTTTGAGGTAAAGTTTAGAAATATTAGCAATATCTTTTTGACGTCATCAATAAACAAATATTGGAATAAATAATTAGCCATATTATCAAAATAAATAATATATATAAAAAGCAGGAAGATGAGATCATACCGGTCTCCCAAACTTTGGTAGCTCAGAAATTTTAGCTTTGTGGTGACCTGGATAGCCTGAACATCAACAAAAGGATGAATGTAATGAGAATCTGATGATTTATTAGGAAAAATAAAATAATGATAAATAAAGAAATACCCGAGAAAAGTTTAACAATATGGTTGAAATGAATTTTCTCAAGTAAATATATATATAATAGGTGACATGGGATGATATATATAGTAGGTTAAGGGAAATTAATGCAATGAAAATGGATTGGCCTTCTCCTTTCTTCTTGAATTCATATCTAACAATCATCCCACCTGCCGGTCTCAAGTCCTCAAACTCTATCATGCAGACGGCTTTAATGGTTATCTTGACAGTTCCACTCTTTGCATGACCAATCACATCCTCGCATTGATGAAACCATCACAACAAATCCTAGTTACGATCTATGGCACATCAATGATCAAAACCTGGCCACAACACTGTATTAGGCAATCTCCACCTCCCTTCTATCATACGTCATAAACCTTAATTCCTGCAAAGAAATATGATTCACTATTAATCACTGCCTCCAATGGACCTATCGGCCAAGCATCATTAAGCTCAAGACAATAAATAAGTCAATATATTTTCGCCATCAAATACAATAGATCAACGACATTATCCACTATTACTCCCAATGGTCTTCCTTCTACTTACCACTGCTTTAAAACTTCCATGTGCACAGTTCTGGAAGCCATCATCCTTGATGACATATGCTCCCTCTTGTGCATTGAGAGTCCAACTTAGCCCATGAAGCCACACAAGTTGAAATCCAATTCCCAACTAGCACCTAAAATTGCTTTGGCATTCTAGAGACAAGGGAAAAGATCGCTCTTATGCCATCAGAGAATGCCACCCTTCCTCAAATCCTCAGTCAGGAAGACATCATCCAAGGCTTCCAAGGTGGTAAATTCTCTTCACCGACCATTTGTCAAAGCTGCAGTAAAATAAAAAACTCTGCAATCAAGTCCAGGTATTAAACTAACCTCATTTATCAAACAGTCCCTGGAGCTCTTATTGGAATTCAATCACTAGAGACAAAACAACTCCTTGATGCAAGATTGAAATTCCGCTTCATTTGGAATCCCAACCAATACAACATAATTTAACCTTTGATGGGCACAACACATCAACATCAGCAATAGGCAATCTCTTCTTATATCTCACACCAGCCAAGGACTAACACACAATCTCGTAAGCTACTTCTTCCTCAGTTGCTCCATGTTCACGATCCATCCCACAACCTTCTCTTGGTTAACAAACTAGCTGTTAACCTGGTAACCATGACAAGAAAGTGTACATAGCTCAACCCAAAGGCTTTCAAGATCCACAATGGACTCATCATTCTTGCCTCCACAAGAAGCCCTGCTATGGCCTCATGTAGACCTGCTTGACAATGTTTCACTACATTCTCCACTCACCTTCAGCAACTCTCGTTATTAGTATCGTCAATCCTTCACTCATGCTCCACACCCAAAATCAAATAAAATGTACATCATTATATATATGGATGATATCCTACTTACAGGTAACAATCAAGCAACAATAACAAATCTTTTGCATAACTATAATACAAACAAGAATTTGTAATATGCGCTCTATTTCTTTTTCCTGAGAATACCTACAAAAACTCCTTTTGATCTACACCTCCAACATTCCTTCGTT